TTGATTGTTTTCTCCAGATGACAAAATCCTTAACCCTAAAAGTGCTGGAAGCAAGTTCCCTATCCGTGGATTTTACATAAAATATAGCCGCCTTTTGATAAACTTCGTACAATAAAATTATTTAAATTATGTAAAATTGCAGAACAAAGGAACAGCGCACATACAGCTTGCTCCTAGCACTTTTCAAAATGCATGTAGTACGGACAACAGCTACATGTGTGTCTAAGAAAAATTACAATTTATAGTGAAACGGATATCGTTAAAGTTTTGATATCTTCGAAAGATTGTGTCCATATAAGGCCTATTCTTTTTCGATATAATAAGTTTAATATTTGTTTAATGCATTCAAAAATATGATTCATTTCAATAAGATAAAGCTTATTGCCTGACGTCACGGCGTCACACTCTACTAAGGATTAATATTTCCGATGTTCGAAGCGAAGAGGTCACAGTTAGCCAGCAAAATTTTGTGCATGCTGATTATCATCGGATTTTGTTACATTCGTTTCAGCAACAACAGTTAGCAGAAAACTAACCATATTGCTGATACAATAAATTGATGTATTTATTTTCTTTAGCTTTTTGATAGCAGCTATTTTTTCATGCACGTTCTGATAGGCCATGTCCGTTTGTCTTTTTTTCTGCGTTTCTATACAACTGGATTAGTCCATCTGTCTTCTAGGTAAGGGATGACTAAATCATTTCGCGCCAAAATGTCACGTGTAAGCTTTGCACCCTTTTCCTGGACTAGTCTATTGAATGGGAATGAAAACTGCATGAATTATATAAAGTCTGTTCTTTTTTGTCGGAATCCTGGTAGAGCTTTGGAAAAAAAAAACATATCGGTGATATTATGAAGTGAGTTAGAAGTTACATCATTTAAAGTAATAAAAACGAAAGGAACAAATGGACAGGATATGTACTTGCCAAATATACATCTGATCATACCCACGCCCCCCCACCCCCCCACCCCCCCCCCCCTCTCAAGGGGTTATTCTCCACAGAGTAAAGACTTATGAAAGTGTCCTCTCACATTTTAAAATTGAGAAAGTTTATTCCTTTTTTGGTCGTACAAATGTTTTTGATGTGGACCCCTCATCCCTGGGAAAAACTTCCTGAATCCGCACCTGTCGCCATTCATATATCGCCGTCTTGTTTGTTGGGTCATTTGAGCATATAGGACTTTAATTATTTATCCCACGTTTCCAACAATCGTTGATGCTCTGTCAAACCCAAGAAGGTATTAAACATATCCTGCATGTCAGTCATAACCGTTACGATTCCCAATTTCTGGTAAATATCATATTTTCAGCTGTCTTCCTCAAAGCCTATGCTGTTTATGCAGTTGAATCTAATTTATGTTACCTTTACATGTAGCCATGCTTTTCAGCATTAATCAATTACATTAGTATTTTCCCTCATTTACTTCGTACTAGCTCTAAAGCCATTTTTAGACTCGCAGGGTGAGTTGTTCATCTTTACGTCGCGGGTTCGAATCTACAGCGGGACATGTACACGATTTTATTTTTATTTGAGATACAAACAATCAATACGTTTTATATAAAATGTCTTCTTTTTCCATTCCTCTGATGAGTATCATACAACTTAAAATGAATGCATGATGTTTTGTGCAACACCTTCATAATTTACTCTTGTGAATTAATTTATCACCCTCCAACCTTACCTCAATGTAAACGTTTATAACATATTATGCTTATAGGTTCTGTAGATATTGATGGCATTAGTCAGGCAAGCCTTTTAAAAAAGCTGTTACTTGTTTCATTCAAAAGTTCATCAGTACAAGCTTCAATAATCAATTATAGCCTGATCTACGTGTCATGTACAGAGACACTTGGTGTGAAACTAGTCTGAGACCTCATCTCAGACAGTGCAACGAGACCAAGTTAGCTTTAATTCTACATTTAAAAAGTGTAGTAACAATAACAAGGTAAGTAACTGTACACCGTGGATTTTGTTGGCAATATTTATGAGAAATTATTGCATGTACCGGTATAAGTGTATAAAAAAAATGTATTTTTTCGCCGCAAATCATTTGCACAGTACCATGGCGTCTTATCGCTTTCCCGAAGCTCTGCGAAGGCTGATGTACCAATGTGAGTCTTTAACCTAGCTTCCAGGTTAAGTCAAGGGTTTTATGGGTTTGACCTTAAAAATTTAGGTGCCATGTCACGGAAGGCACTGGCACAATAAAGAACCTTCACTGCTCAATGGCCCTAAGGGCGGAGTATAAGTCTAAAGGATGTATTCACTATGACAAAAGAATTGACTTATAGGAGAGAATAATTTTCCGGAAAGAGTGACATTTGAAAAATAATCTTTATTGGTTGTTTTCTACCGTTTAATGTCTAAATTTTTCAAATTTGTACTTTATACCTAATCTTTATTTTCTACAACTTTACAATAAACCTCCAAAGTTTTCCAAAACACCATTTTGTCCTTTACAGCGTTGATTTTTGTATATATTTTGGCCTAGAAGTCCTTCAGGGCAGGCCTGCCCCTGAAAAAAAAAACTGTGATATTTTGATAGGTTTGGATGTAAAGAATAATTTAAGATAGGATTTTTTCAGGGGCACCCCTGCCCTAGGGTCGAAATTCACAAAAGAAAAAAAACGTACAAAAAATTTGGAAACCTAATTTTGATAATCTGCTTAAATTTTATGCCAGACAATTTTATGGTCAGACTAGCTCAGTAAGTATATGTGCTGACTCTTACACTATCTCATACTCTCTTTTTAATGTCGGTTGTTCGAATCCACCTGGTATGACACTTTTCAAGTTTTCATTTTTCGCCTTTCAAAGACTATTTAATTTTTTTTTATAGTCTTGTGCATTTTCTTTCAATTATCTATCCTTTATGCCTGCCCATTCATAATATAAGAAACACTAAAGACAGATCAGATCGTATCATTCCAATATACAGTTGTTAGTCAGGCGGAACAATAATGCTTCTATGGCAAATGTCTGTATTTGGTCTCTGCCGAATTAGACAAACGAGACTTCACTTACATCAGCTGTTTGTGACTTGACATGTGTAAAATAAAAAAAAAATATGTACGGCTACAAAGATTGTCATTAAAATGAACGATATTCGGATAATTGTTCACTATAAAATTGATTGTTTTCTCCTTATGACAAAATTCTTAACCCTAAAAGTGCTGGAAGCAAGTTCCCTATCCCTGGATTTTATATAAAATATAGCCGCCTTTTGATAAACTTTGTACAATAAAATTATTCGCATTTAAATTATGTAAAATTGAAGAACAAAGCAACAGCGCACATACAGCTTGCTCCCAGCACTTTTCAAAAATGCATGTTGTACGGACAACAGCTACATGTGTGTCTTAAAAAATTACAATTTATAGTTAAGCGGATATCGTTAAAGTTTTGATATCTTCAAAGGGTTGTGTCCATATGAGGCCTATTCTTTTTCGATATAATAAGTTTAATATTGGTTTAATGCATTCAAAAATATGATTCATTTCAATAAGATAAAGCTTATTGCCTGACGTCACGGCGTCAGACACTACTAAGGATCAATATTTCCGATGTTCGAAGCTAAGAGGTCACAGTTAGCCAGCAAAATTTTGTGCATGCTGATTATCATCGGATTTTGTTACATGCGTTTCAGCAACAACAGTTAGCAGAAAAATAACCATATTGCTGATACAATAAATTGATGTCTTTATTTTCTTTAGCTTTTTGATAGCAGCTATTTTTTCATGCACGTTCTGATAGGCCATGTCCGTTTGTCTTTTTTTCTGCGTTTCTATACAACTGGATTAGTCCATCTGTCTTCTAGGTAAGAGATGACTCAATCATTTCGCGCCAAAATGTCACGTGTAAGCTTTGCACCCTTTTCCTGGACTAGTCTATTGAATGGGAATGAAAACTGCATGAATTATATAAAGTCTGTTCTTTTTTGTCGGAATCCTGGTAGAGCTTTGGAAAAAAAAAACATATCGGTGATATTATGAAGTGAGTTAGAAATTACATCTTTTAAAGTAATAAAAACGAAACGAATAAATGGACAGGATATGTACTTGCCAAATATACATCTGATCATACCCACGCCCCCACCCCCACCCCCCACCCCCCTCAAGGGGTTATTCTCCACAGAGTAAAGACTTATGAAAGTGTCCTCTCATATTTCAAAATTGAGAAAGTTTATTCCTTTTTTGCTCGTACAAATGTTTTTGATGTGGACCCCTTATCCCTGGGAAATACTTTCTGAATTTGCATCTGTCGCCATTCATATATCGCCGTCTTGTTTGTTTGGGTCATTTAAGCATATAGGACTTTAACTATTTATCCCACGTTTCCAACAATCGTTGATGCTCTGTCAAACCCAAGAAGGTATTAAACATATTCTGCATGTCAGTCATAACCGTTACGATTCCCAATTTCTTGTAAATATCATATTTTCAGCTGTCTTCCTCAAAGCCTATGCTGTATATGCAGTTGAATCTAATTTATGTTACCTTTACATGTAGCCATGCTTTCCAGCATTAATCAATTACATTTGTATTTTCCCTCATTTACTTTGTCCTAGCTCTAAAGCCATTTTTAGACTCGCAGGGTGAGTTGTTCATCTTAATGTCGCGGGTTCGAATCTACAGCGGGATATGTACACGATTTTATTTTTATTTGAGATACAAACAATTAATACGTTTTATATAAAATGTGTTCTTTTTCCATTCCTTTGATGAGTATCATACAACTTAAAATGAATGCATGATGTTTTGTGCAACACCTTCATAATTTACTCTTGTGAATTAATTTATCACCCTCCCACCTTTCCTTAATGTAAACGTTTATAACATATTATGCTTATAGGTTCTGTAGATATTGATGGCATTAGTCAGGCAAGCCTTTTTAAAAAGCTGTTACTTGTTTTATTCAAATGTTCAGTACAAGCTTCAATAATCAATTATAGCCTGATCTACATGTACGTGTCATGTACAGAGACACTTGGGTGAAACTAGTCTGAGACCTCATCTCAGACAGTAAAACGATACCAAATTAGCTTTAATTCTACATTTAAAAAGTGTAGTAACAATAACAAGGTAAGTAACTGTACAACGTGATTTTTGTTGACAATATTTATGAGAAATTACTGCATGTACCGATATAAGTGTATGAAAAGAAAAATTGTATTTTTTCGCCGCAAATCATTCGCACAGTACCATGGCGTCTAATCGCTTTCCCGAAGCTCTGCGAAGGCTGATGTACCTATGGGAGTCTTTAACCTAGCTTCCGGGTTAAGTCACGGTTTTTATGAGTATGACCTTAAAAATACAAGTCCCATGTCATGGATGGCACTAGCACAATAAAGAACCTTTACTGCTCAAGGGCCCTAGGGGCCGAGTATAGGTCAAAATTTGAAGTCCTTCGCTGGCATATTGTCACGTCTCTATATGAGTGTAAATTTTTTCGAATGGGACATTTAACAATATTTACTTACATTCAGTTTAATTGTCCTTATGAAATAGATTAGAAAACGACAACGGTCAAAACTGCAACGATATAAAATTGTACACATAAATTACAAATCTAAATAGAAAACTGAAGCTTCATTCAAGACATATATACATTGTCTCAAAGTTTATAAAAAGTCTTTATCCGTAACCTTTGTTGTAACTGGCATTTAAATGTTCTTTTATTTTCCTTTAGACAGAACAAAAACAACCACGTGTAAAGAAGAATGAAGAAAATTCTCCTTATGTGCATTTTTCTAACCGTATATGGTCATGGTAAGTGCATTTTAAACAAATGTAACATTTCCCTCTTCCCACTACCCTGTAAAATGCATTGAGAAATAAATCCATGTCAAGTCTTAAGGCTATCTCCAGGCACACTGCTCTTGATATCACACATGCGAAAAGACATAAGCATATTTTCTTTCTCCGTTTTCAACGTTCTCGTTTTGTAATAAAAGATCAACCATAATCTACTGCAATGCGAAAAATGCATGTAATGGCTGTTTCGTACGAATGGGTGGAAGAGAACCCACCAGTTGCTCTGCTGGTTACATGTAAGCCTTGCTGTGACAACATTTACTGCATTATTCAAATTTCCTCTCTTTCGGATATTATCCAAAAATCGGACGAGATCATAGATAGAGTATGATTTGTTTCTGTTACATGTCTTCCTTTTCAATTTTAGTTTTTTTTTGGGAAGAATGATGGGATATCTAGCATTTAAGATAAGAATATTGTATGTTTTAACCGTCCATCACATTTCAAAAGTCTGCCTTCATCGCAGGGATGGGGTCGATTACTTTCAAAAGTAATCGATTAAATTACAATTACTTTGGATTTTAAAAGTAATCGATTACAGGCTGATTACAGATATTTTTTAAAGTAATCAATTACATCTGATTACTTTTCCTTCATGTAATCATAATAACCTATGACTACTTTAGATTACATTAAGTTTTATGTTTTTATTTAATATTCAAGGACAACGTCATGCTTTTATTCTTCCTATTTTAAATATCATTAATATTTTTAAGATAGATTTCAGACAAAGTTTGGTTGTATATGTCTTTATATAGAAGCATGATATTTATCTTATAATACCTGAATTCCATCTTTAATACATGAGCCTCGTCGGATAGAAATCGACCTTATCGTATGCAACGCCATAATGAGAAAAAAGGGAATAAAGTTGAGAAAGATTTCCCGGTAATTTTACTACACATGGTTTTCACGTTAAGGAATGTTTTAGACATCGTCAACTGCAGTTCAAAGATTTTTTCTTCGAAAAATCTGATCATTTTAAACATGTACTAATAAAATAAACATATTTTAAATGTATTCCCCTTCGTAGAGCCTTATTTTTTTTTTTATTGTTACCATGGATCAATGTAAAGACAAGCAAGAGGGATGCCGAGTCCGACCTACACTTTTTTTTTCAAACCGCAGAAGACGTAAGGCCATATCTAACACCAGATAAATAATAAGTTGGTAGACATATAGCGAAGAAAAAATGGCATTGTGCATTACTGAGGAAGTACGGAATATATTTTTTATTGTAGTTTAGAGTATAAATTTTAGCCAGAGGAGACGTAATCTGGTACAGAAAATCGCACATGTACTGATGCAGTAATAGCCTAGTGTTTGAACTTCATTTACTATTCATCGTGTGACGTATTCATTCATTCACGATTAAATTCGCAATATTATATTAGATATACTTAAATGTTTCATGTCTTTGAATGAATTTACGTGTATTTTCGAATTTATCACAGAAATTAACCAACCAACCAAAACAAAACAAACAGAGCTCTAGGCATATCGATTCAGTGCAAAATGTACAAAGGCCACGATTCAACAACTTTTAAAATGCATTTTTCTAATTACAATATCAAGAGATATCAAGAAACAATTAATACCGGTAAGGTAAGGCAATTTCTTCATATGTCAGTAATTCCCAAACGGAAACACGTATTGTCCGAAGCGACTGGATACGATAAATTGTGCAAGTTGCTTCCCTTTGACACAAAAAAGAGGCTCAACACGGGGAATCATTTAATTAAAAAAAAAGATGTTTTTTTTTCTCTCTATCTTAACTTTTGTCTCTCTTCCATTACCAGATTTTAAGTTAATTTTCGTTAATATTTCACTCCTTATTTTGCAAGTTTATAAAAAATACCGACGATGGATTTTCTTTGATTTTTAAACTTCTTTAACTTGGCTGGCGAAAATGTAAGAAGATGGGCCCGATTTGTAAAACATATCCTTCTACGTCATTAATATTTAAAAGAGTTGTAAACCAAAATTTTACTCTACAGTCGGATGTAAAAAAAAATAGTTTTGTGAAAGGTGTTCTGAAATATTCAGCATAATGTTAAGTATTTTGAACCCCGTTAATACCAAACTTTTTCCAAAAATCATATCTTGAGCAGCTGGATTTCACCTGTTCGTGAATAACAGGAATATGGTTTCGTTTTGTACTAAGACTTTCACTTATAACATCAAAACGTTCTCTACATTATAAATTTCTTCTACAATTCTCTTTTTTTAAAAGAGAGGGTGGATACCCACAACAGATAACTTAATTATTAATCTCATTTTTTTTTTATTGATTTATTTTATTTACAAAATCATAAAACAAACAATTATGAAATGTCTATAATTTTATAAGTGTTGTGTTGGACTGGGTTAGGAACGGGATAGCAGAATGTTGTCGATGCGTACGCCGCGTGCCTTCATACATATTATTTTTCTCTAAAGGAGAGTTATTTTTTTTTGGGGGGGGGGGGGGCTTCCTACCTAATAAAATGAGCTTACTTTTAGACACAGCGCTAGTATCACACCATGTTTGATTTCACGAAATCACTATGTATATACAGATGGATGTGATTTTTTAAATTTAAATTAAGAATAATTATTGTAGCATGATTTAAGTTGTGATTTTATTGGCTGCATGGTTCATGTATTTTCTGTAAGAAACTAGGTATTTCTGCGATCGAATCCGAATCCCTGTAAATTTGGACTCGATCTCATTGGTTCCCTTTTCCTTTACATGGTGATTACGTAAAATCAAACATAGTGTGTTAACTAACTTGCATGCTTTGAGGATGCAGGCTTTATCAAACGTAAAAGCAGCATGGTATAGATCTACATTTTGTTTATTGGAAGTTATTCATAGAGACAAAGCTGTCGGTACGAAAAAAAGACAGAAAAGTAGAAATTAAAGATCTTGGTGGGGGTGGGGGTGTACGTAGTGTATTCGCTTTTTAAAGGATTTAAAATACAGTTAACATAGTTTTTGGGATTGTACATCATGATCCTCTGTTTTTGTCATTTATTAAGCAATTCTTTTAACTTAGGCATGATGACCGCTTGGATTGCTACGCGTTGACAGGTGCCCTACCGAACAACTGAGAATAAACCATGACGTCACAATTGAATCGTGAAAAACCACGATATGCTCAGAGTTAATTTTGCAAACATACCAATTTCAAAATGTAATAACTTTATTATAAATGAAGATATTTTGATTCCGTTTTCAGTTTTTGTAATGGTTTTACATGGACCATTAAAAAACACAAAAATCTAAAATTCGATAAATTTTGCCATAAGGTCGATTTCTATCCGACGAGGCTCACATGTAAATATCTCGTTACTATTGAGAGAATTAGAAAAAAGAATTTATTAAAGTTTTTTTTAATAAATCAAACTAAACATAATGATAGTAGGGATAAAGGGATTCGATAGGGAATTGTTACACAAGTAATTGACATTCCTGACGAGTGATGGACTTTTCAATTAAACTGCCAATTATTACCTGGTGGATGTTTTTACTAGAATTAACACATTGACTGGACAAGCATGGATAGTTCAATAATTACTATTACCCAAGCTGACCTAATTTTAGTATACCTGTGTTTTATGACTAATTAATTCACGTATCTTTTATGTACATTGTGAATCAAAAAAAGTGATTTTTAGAATACGCCTCAATAAAGGAACATTTGCTATAAAAAAGATTTTTTCAAAGACTTACAGGGAATACAAATTGTTGCATTACACGCATGTTCATTAATTGAAACAAAAATAATTCAAACTTTAAAATGATCCTGTAGTAATTTTCTATCAGTTTATACATATATCTTGTCAAAAATAGCGAATTGCTAAGCTGCTAAAGTATTTTGAACTGACTACTGAATATAGCAAGAAACTGATAGAATTTACTCATTGTCTGGACAATAGACCTGATTACAAGCATTTCTGGAGGCGTAAGAAGAAGATACTTTATTAAATATAGCTTAATAACTTTTTTTAATAAAATATATTTACAAGGAAAAATATTCACTGAAAATCATCAAAAATAATGATTTTATGAACTTTGCTTTAATAATTGTAATCATAAAGTAATCAAAAAGTAATCATGATTACAGGACTTTTTTCGGAGTAATTGATTAGATTACGATTACTTGTAATCAGAAAAATGGGTGATTACTGATTACTCATGATTACTTGGCGAACTGTAATCGATTACAGCTGTTTACGATTACTGATTACGATTACCCCATCCCTGCTTCATCGATTACTGGTTTCAAACATTGCTGTTTTGTTGTAGAGGTTTGTTTTAACGAGGCCCGATCTAGTTGAAAATTACGAAAACGGAATGATAAAAATTTTTAATTTTTGGAAATATACTTGTGTGTTTTATGCTTAGAAAAATTAGAATGAAATTTTGTTACCTTGACTTTATTGTAGTGAAATGGGGGTATTGTCAATATATGGGCCATTTTTTCGTGTTTTTATACACAACTACATACTAAAACTCTTCAATAAACATAGAAATTTACAAATAAAAAAAAAAAATACATGGTGAAATTCTTTGTTTTTCACATATGTAATGCAAATTTCATTCTTCTTATACAAAATGAAAAGAAAATTGGTAGCCTTCATTGCAGTGAAAAGGGGGCATGTCAAAACACAAAATTTGGATTTTTTCATCCAACTACGTATTTTATAGGTCGCTATAGGTTTACATAACACCAACAAACATTGCAATACTGTATTAGTTTCTAAAAATAAATAATTTTTACATTATGAAATAATTTTCTCGCGATGCTTAATTTTTCTCTCAACACGCAACATTGTTTTACGTGGAAAAAAAGGGTAGAGGGGGGAGAGGGATTAAAGGCGAGAAAAATTGCGATTTTTACTAATATCATGTTATATATAGAAAAATAAAATATTCAGGGGGTTCAATTTAACTGACTTATGGACTTATT